TTCAACTGTTTATGGAGTTTTTGTGTTTTCTTTTGTCATTAATTTCCAATTTCATTGCACTATGTTCTGATAGTATACATGGAAAAATTTCAATTCCTTTGCATTTACTTAAACATATTCCATGTACTAGTATATGGTCTGTTTTAGAGAACATCCCATGTGCAGCTGAGAAGAATGTGTATTCTGATGCTGTTGGGTGGAACACAATGTAAAAGTCTACTAAGTCCATATGTTCACGTTTGGTTAAGTTCTGTTATTTCTTTCCCATTTTTTTTGCCTAGTTGATCTATCTCTTTGTAACAATGGTGTGTTAAAGTCCCCTGTTATGATTGTGTTGCTACTTATACCATTTTTCATGTCTGATAGAATTTGTCTTATACAGGTGTGTGCTCCTATATTTGGTGCATAGATGTTTATGATTGTTATCTCTTCCTCTTGAAGCTTCCCCCTCACAAATGTGTAGTGACCTTCTTTATCTCTTTTGACTGTTCTTGGTTTGAAGTTCATGCTGTCTGCAAACAGAATAGCTACATCCTCTTTTTTCTGGGTTCCTGTCACATGGAGTATTGTTTTCCACCCTTTCATTTTCAGTCTATGGATTTCCTTTTGAGTTAAATGTGTTTCTTGTACACAGTATCTAGTTGAATTTTGTTTCCTCATCCACTCTGCTAGTCTGCTTCTTTTGGTTGGAGCATTGAGACCATTTACGTTGATGGTTATAACTGGTATGTACTGGCTTATCTTTGTCGTGATATTTTCCTGCTGTTGTATCCTTCTTTTTCCCTCTGTTTAACTGCTTTCTCTGCTTGGTGGTTCTTATTGTTGTTCTTGAAGTTGCAGTATGTTTTATCTCTTTCTAGCATATGTTTTAGCACTCTTTGTAGGATTGGTTTGGCACTCATGAATTTCTTCAGTTGTTCTTTATCATGAAAATATTTTATTTCTCCATTAAATTTGAAAGATAGTTTTGCAGGGTACATCAATCTGGGTTGGGAGTTGTTTTCTTTTAATACCTGAAATACTTCACTCCAAGCTCTTCTTGCCTTGATGGTTTGTGTTGAGAAGTCTGCCGTGATTCTGATAGGCTTTCCTTTATAGGTGATCTGTTTCTTTTCTCTAACAGCTTTTAATATTCTGAGCTTTGGTTGAGTTTCTGGGATGTTGATCACTATATGTTTGGGTGTAGATTTATTTTGGCTATGATTAACTGGAGTTCTATATGTTTCACTTATCGGGATGTCTGATTCTTTTTCCATGCCTGGGAAATTTTCTGCTATTATTTCTGCAAATAGTCTTTTTATGTCATTTGTATTGACACCTGCTGTTTCATTAATACCTACTAATCTGACATTGTTTTTCTTTGTTTCATTTTGCAGTTGTTGAATTGTTATTTCCTGGTTCCTTGTTGTTGTTAAGAGATTCCTCCTTTCATCAGTGGCAATGCTGTCTTCATTGTCTGAAAGTCTATCTTCAGCTTTGTTCAGGCGGTATTGCCAGCTTTCAATGGAATTTTTAATTTCCTGGATATCTGTTTGCATCTGTTTCATACCTTCTAGTTCTTTTCTATATTGTTCACTGGAGGGTTCCATGAGTTATCCATGCTCTTCTGTTTTCTTGTCAATATCATCTTTGGATATGCTGAGCATTTCTTTCATTATTGTTGTCATTTCTTTTCTCACCTGAGACATTATTTCTGATCTGATGTTTTCTATAGCCTGATGGAGCTGTTTCTTTACTTCAGTTGCTATCATTTCAGAAATTTCAGGTGTATGACTTCCAGACTCTTCTCTGTTGATGTCTCTTGGACTTGTTTTGGGTGGTGTGGAGGTCTGGGATTACATTTTGCTCCTTCGTTTTGTCATTTTTGAAGATCCAGAGGCTCCTGGAGTGCAGCCTCACTCTGCCGATTGTGTGTGAGTGGCAGGGTGAGAGTCTGAAGATCCACAGTGCCAGTGCAGCTCCTGTGCTAGTGAATGGTGGCAAGGTGAGGTCCCAGATGCTCCCAAACTTTCCTGCATTCAGTTGGCTCCCAGGCATGTGTGGGAAGTGTGGGGGAGGCTTGCCAGAGTTCCTGAGACTGTCTGAGGTTCAGCCCCACTTCCACAACAGTAAGGGGGGTGCAGGTCATGATCACAGAGGCTTCAGATATTGCCCAGGACAGAGCCTGCTTCCCACACTGGAAGGGGAGGGGTGAGGGTGAATTCTCGGAGGCTGCTGACTCTGTCCAGGTTTCAGCTGAGCTCCCAGGGTGGGTTTGAGTTGTTCTGGCAGTGACCACCAAGGCCCCAGAAGTTGTCCAGGGCACCAAATGCCTCACACCCTAGTGGGGGAGGCACCAGAGTGGCTCACCGGGGTTCCTAAAGGTGTCTGGCATTCAGCCCAGCCCCAGTAGACACACTATGGGTGCGGCAAGTAGCCACCGAAGCCCGTGAGGGTGCCCAGGGTTCTGCCTACCTTGCACGCTGGTCAGGGAGGTGCAGCCGCAAATCACCGGGCTTCCTGAAGATGTCCAGGATTCAGCCATTTTCCTCTTTTTATAAGGACACCAGCCACAATGGAGATTAGGGTCCACACAAGTGGCCTCATTTAACATTCAACTCCCCTTTAAAGACCCTGTGTCGGGGGCTGCGATTTAGCTCAGCAGCACAGCACCTGCCTGGCAAGTGCGAGATCTTGAATTTGCTTCCCAATACGGGAAAAACAAAAAACAAACAAACAAAAAAGACCCTGTGTCTAAACAGTCATGATCTGAGTACAGGGGGTTAAGACCACACCATGTAAATCTCGGAAATGAGAACTGCAATTCAGTGCAAGCCCTGTTTTGAATTCTCGTTTTAGTTGTTCTATAATAATACACATTACTGTATGTGTATATTACATTTACAGTAATAAAAATATTTTGACATAAAGCAAATATAAAGGCATGAAAATTGGTGATAAAAAGGATAGTTTTTACTCAAAATTGATTTTCAGTTATTTCTGTTTGCAACTTTTTTCAGACGGCATCTGCTATGTACAAAATACTTTGATCATTCAAGTTCCCTATGCTAGACGGCCCTCTACCCATCAAACTGCGGTGTGCTCAAGGTGAGACATGGACCCAAATGACTACCATTCAAAGAAAACATGCCCTGTGCCCTAAGAATAGTGACCTCCAGGTTCTGTGAGGTCTAAGGGGTAAGACTCACTTCCATTTGGGAGGACTGTGGAAGATTTCCTGGAGAGGGCGACTTCAAAGCTAGACCTTAATAGTCACATGGGATTTTAAGTAGACAGACATTGAGGATTTCAGCCTTTGAAAAATCTACATAGACCTTAACTACATAGCAAGACCCAGTCTCAAAAAAAAAAAAAAAGAAATAAAAACCCAGCACCCTTCAAAACAACACCCCAATACACTGAAAATTTTTCTACAATTGAAAATAAACCATGTAGTATATAGCTTAATACTGTAATTAAAATTAGCATTTTATAGTCTCTGGAAAATCATTCTAATAAAACTGTTTACTCATTCCTTATATTGGATTTTAACTCCCCTCCCCTAGATTTTGATATAGAAATGGAAATAATATTTCTAATATCATTTTGCTGCATTTCCCTTGATAAGGACCATCTCCAAGGGCACCAAAGAGAAATAGAACAATGTGGAGAGAAATTTCAAACAGTAGCCTCCTTCGGCTGACTCTATCTAAGTCCATGCAGAACTGGATGACTAGCTTCTACACACTGGGCCACCCTCTTTCCATTCACGGTCTGGTGACCCATCTGCCTGTAGCATCCAGCAAAAAGCTTGGTACTGTTGGGGGTTGTGAGGGCTGTGGTCAGCCCTGCTCTTCATTCTCCATTAGAAATCAGGAGGAAATTTGTTTCCCAAGAAAGGGCAAGATAGGTTTTGATCAGACAGAGGTCCAGGACCATGTGCCTGCATGAACAGGGATTGTTTGCTTGGTTTGCCCCTCCCATTATCTACTATGATTTGGAACTCTTGTCTTTTTTCTTTCATTATTCATTTATAACTGTCTTTAATAGAGGAGATGACCACCGAAGCCACAAAACCAGCCTGCTACCCTGGGAGGAACTCTCAGGTTACAAACCAAGCAAGGGGTGTATGTTTTTGTACTTAGCTCTCCTTGCTGGAATAGCCCTTATTCCTTTCTCCCATCCAATCTAATTACCTCCTACCCTTCCCTGGAACCTCAGATTAAAGAGTCCCCTTTAAGGAAGCCATTTCCCCTCTACACAGTTGTGTCTTGGCACATTATTGTACCGTACAGTCTCATTACATTCATGCTCATCGTTGATAGTTATATCTAACTTGTATCCCCTACACTGCGCCTGAATCGCCACAAAAGCAAACATCACTTCGGTCTGACACACAGAAGGTGCTCCATGTATAACAGTGGACCAGACCATTGACTGATCTGATTTGAGTGCCTTTGACCTTGATCCTCAAGCCACACAAACCTTCGTTTATGAAACCCAAAGTCCACCTTACAATTTTCATTCAAGATTGAAGATACCAGTAGGAGATTCCTTTGATCCTTTGTGTCTGTAGGAATAGAAAACATTCATTTAAGAAGAAAAATGAAGTTATGAAAAGCCAGCAAGGTAGCTCAGAGGATCTAAGATTGTGCAAAACTAAGTTCAGAGGCACCATTAAGAACAATGCCCCAAATGAAGACAGAACTGGGCCAGGGAAGACACTACAGCCATCACTACTGGGCACTGACCTAGCCGTGGTCTATGTGCGCAGTCAGCACTGGATGGTGTGCTCTGGCTATGGGAACTCGGTCGCTGGAAATGAAATACAGAAGCACCTCTGTCCTGCCCTCAGGAAGGGAGTTTGCTCAGGGCCTGTTTTTGTTCTACTTTAATATCTAGGAAAGGCATTTCTGATTGGTGGAGACCAGGTTAATGTGCCCATCATCCAGCCACACTGTAAGCTGAGAAAACATTGGTCTGCCCCACATTCAGCTTCTCTAAGAGAGAGAAAGATTCCTCCTTGTCAGGTGAGGAAACCTTCCTAAAGGAAAGGGGTTCAGTTCCTGGGCTCTCAAAAGGAATGATAGTTGGTCTATGTCCCCTGAAAATTTGTACAGCTCTTATTTCCTCACCCTCCCCTTCCCAGCCTCATGGAAAAGCCCCCTAACTAATTGCCTTCCACATACCAGGATTTTCTAGAGGATTCCTCTATTTTCATTTGCTTAACTCTTTCCTCGTATGTTTCTATCAGTTCTGGTTGGGCCTGGTGGTACAGGCATGCAATCTCAGAACTCTGGGAGGTTAAAGCAGGAGGATCACAAGTTTAAGCTCAGCCTGCACAATTTAGTGACATAGCAAGATCTTCTCTTAAAATAGAAAATAAAAGACAGGCTGGGGATGTATTTCAATGCCCACTATAAAAAAAAAAAAAATAATGCACATCCGTTTTCCCCTTCCAGTCACATGGCCAGCTTTATACATGCATATGACCCATAGCCAACCCACTAAGCTACTCAATTCTTTTTTTTTTTTTCTCTAAAGTTCAAGTTGTTTCAAAATTACTCTGGTCCTATGCAAATAGTAGCAATTTCAGATTTGCCCAATAGGGAAGTTTCGCTTCTTTTGTGTGGCCAGTGATAACAGTGTCTGAAATAGCCCTTCTCAGTGAACATTATGCTCTTAACATGATCCAAGAAATGTATTCTTTGGTCAAATGAGTTTGGGAAAATTTTCTCCTGGAGAGTCACAATATACACTAGTGAATCAAAGGCTCTGAAAAATAATGAAATGAAGAAAAGTATTAAACTTTCAACATAACATTTCCAAAGATTATTTGACTACAAACTATCCTGATATTATATTATTGTTGTTGTCCTCATAACCCCTTTGTACAGCCGAAATATGTTTCCATAGAGGTTCCTAAAAGAAATCTCCTCAGAAGATTCCTTGTGCTCCCTTTTTTCTCCCTGTCCTACTTCCCTCATTAAAATTATCCTGAAGTGAGCGGTACTGTGGCCGGGGAAAGGGAACAAGGAAGACAAGGAAAGGGTGTAGCACCACAGATCCTTGCTATTCAAAGAGCTCTTCATGGGCCAGAAGCATCACCATTGCCCAGGAACTTGGAAAATACAGAGCTCACTGCCCTTCCCCAACCCCAGGAAACTAAAATCTGCTTTTCAGCAAAATGATTCCTATGCACAGTAAAGTTTAACCTGCACTGGCATAGATGACTCCTGCATCTACAAGTTCCAATTCTTCATGGTAAACATTTGAGGATTTCAACTCATGTTTAAATTCTCTTAAGAAGGTTTGATTCCTCCCACTAGGATTTCACAGAGCTCAGCATTCTTTTACAGGGTGGGCCTATAGCCTTCAGAATTCCAGGACTTCAAGCAAACCTTAGCAATTTGTGGTTGAGCCACAAAGAAGCTGAGCTGATTTCTGTGATATTTCCTAAAACATCCTACGTGGATCTTCTAGCCCCTGGTCTCATGGGATGCACCATTAGTACCATCATGAGCTCCTGGCATACCAAGGAAATACAGCTATAACTAGATGCAGACCAGGTAGCATTTAGAAACCTAATTCTACACAGAGTACAGAAATTCTAAAAGGCCACTTAATTAGCCTTTTGTAAAAACTAAGTCTTTCAACACCATTGTTGTGTTCAACAAATGTAGTGGATTTTAAAACAATGTAAACTGTCACCAGAACCAATTTTGGTCTCTAGATTTCAGCCTGCCTGCCACTCTGTTACCTGCTTTCTGTTACCAAAGGTTTACTAGTTCCCACAATGCCCTGTTTCATTGGGTAGGATTTCAAGGGACTTGGAGGCAGACCTAAGTTCCAGTACTGGCTCTGACTTTTAGAAGTCCAGTGACACCAAATGTTTTGCTTTATCTCCCTTTGTCATGAGTGCCTTCCTCTGAAATGAGGCTATGAGGACTGGCTACACAGAATTTAAGAAGGACTCCTTAACCAAGGTGTGGAGACCATCAGCTCGGCACTTCACTGGCATGAAGAGCTCCAAACACATGAGACCTTCATGGAAGCCCTGGTTTTGAAGCCCACTCAGAGTATAGCTCAGCCTCCCCTTCCCACAGGCCTCCAGCCTAAAGTTAGCAGCCTCTGGCCCTGCAGACTTGGAAATGACACCTGGATCCACCTTCTCTCCCCTTCAATCCCTGTGCTCACCTATCCTCCACTCCACAATTACCATATTCCACAGCCCCTGGCCTCATGGGATGCACCATTAGTACCATCATGAGCTTGCATACCTTGCCTGGAGAAACCTCCCCTTGAAGCCCTGTTGATCCTCTTGAACCTATAACAGGCTCAGGAAGGAGGCAAAGAGGGGAGCTCAGCAGGAAATGGGAGAGGTAGAGTGCGGGCTTCTCCCTCTACAGATCTCCAATCTGGGGTCCATAGCTTCTGTTTCTAAGAAGGAAGTAAAAGGAACACTCAGTATGCTTTCTTCATAAGCCATGGGACAAAGTAAATAATGGGCCTGTTTTCTTCACTTAGAATTGAAGTTGGCAGAAGTTGATTATACTCATCAATTTTCATATAGTTCTCATACAATTATAATATGTAGATACAGAGTCAGGATTCTGGAAGGGAAGAGACAGAGATATAACCATCAGATAAAGCAACTCTAAGGGACAAGTTGACTGAGACTGAACAAGATCACGGAGCACCAAATGATGATTGTTCCAGACCCACTAGTGGACTCACTGTCAATACCAGGGAAAATCACTGTTAATGATGCCAGATAAAAGTGCTCTGCAGCTAAGATAACCGATAGAGCTCAGCTTAGTAATACTGCCAAGGTGGAGACGACAATGATTGGTGTTAATAAATAGCAAGTCATATATTTAATTGCACTAATCAACAAAACTGTACAACAATATGTTTTTCTAAAATATGCTCCAGATATAGTTGTGTTTCAAATAGTCAATTAAAAAATGTGTCAAATATCCTGTTCCTCAGGTATTTAAAGGAGGCTCAATTTCTGCACCCTGGTCTGAGATGGACCTCCAAAAGATTCATTGTGGGTCCCAGATGCCCATCTTTCCCCGTTCCAGGATCTGCTAATAGCCACACCTCAAAATGTAGCCCATGGCCCAGAAAGGCTGACATCATTGGGCCCTTTAGGAATACAGAGTCACAGGCCCTATTCTAGATTTATGGGAGCAGAACCTACATTTTCACAAGACCTGCAAGGGATCCTGACACTCGTTACAGTTTGAGAAGGCTGTTTCAGAACTCCAGAAATCAAGGGTTTGTCACACTCAGTTATTCTCTGGGAGCAGTCTGGATAGGCAGAGTCATTCTGTCACATGCATACAACAACTAGAAATGCACAGTACCTATTTGTGACTTTACTCAGCACAGAGAGGAGGAAAGCACCTTTGTTCAGAGACCTTTGACACTTTCCTACTCAAAGGAATTAATAGTTCCAACTCAGTAACTCTTGCAGCAAGAGCAAAGCATTCACAGGCCAGAATATCCATGGAGTCCCATGACCCCTGCAGGAAGCCTAGTATTGCCTGTGAGTCAGTAAGCTTGTCTTGGCCTTGTTCTTGTTCTTGTTCTTTATAGCTGCACTCATTAACCTTCAACCAGCAGCTGTATCATAACAGGGGTGTGCTGTAAAGTGCAATGACAATGGATTGTGCAACACTGGTGAGACAGAGACATGGACAAAAGCATAGGCGAGGAGAGGAAACCATGCTTTATGACATGTCCAGGAATTACAACCAGCATGACGTGTGGAGTTTCAGGCTTCAAGGAGGGATGGGGAAAAGTAGAGAGGAGGTTGACAATGGTAGCTCATATCTGGCTTTCATTAAATACATTCAGATGTGTTACTAGGACCCTTTGAATTTCATAACATTGCTGACAATTTATGATTAGAGTGTTTAATGAAATAGTTTAAAATGGACAGAAGAACTTCCATACCAGAACATTTTCATCAGATTTTAACATGCGCCCAAAGTCTGAGGGCAACACATAAAAAGGCATACTTATTTGTACTGTGAAAGTGAATCATCTCAGTCTGTATCATCAACAGCCTACCTCTGACTACATTTCTTTGCCATTTGACCCATTTTTCCCTGACTTTCAGAGAACAACCAGAAAAATCACAACAGAAAATTGAACGAACGTTCTTCTACTTCCACATGCTTCCACAATCCTCTCCCAAAATTCCCAGAAAAAGAAAATCCAGTTCTTCTCCAACTTCACCCTTATCACCTCAGGAAGAAAAAGCAGGCTCCAATGCAGGAGCTGGAAAGAGCCTGACTTGGACAAGAGGAACTGCAAGATGTAGGAATGTGTGACTTTTGTGTGGCCCTGCCCTTATTTATAAACCTCCTTACTGTGCTTCATCTCAAGTTTCTGAAGAGGTATGAATTGTGTTTAATTAAAGCTAGAGTGATGGAAGTGGACAGAGTTATTTCAAGGCTGTTCACACATCCTTAGCCCCTCTTATCAAGCTTTCAGAGCTCTATTTTAAAAGGTTAGGGGGGTGGTAGGAGGCAATTATGTCTCTTCTCTAACAGCTGCCAGAGATTACTGCCGTCAGAGTAATTATCACCAAATAATTGTCCCCTTTCTTTCCTGCTGATGGGGCAGAGACTCAACTGAAGTAGATTTTGTATTTGCTGAATACAAGTTGGGTAGCTAAGGTCAACAAGCATCCATGGAGTATTTATTTCAGCATTATACCTGTTGACCACAGCAAAAAATTAAAATTCATTTGTTACCGAAGAGAAAGCCATCAAATGTCCCTTCCCTAAGATCATGCAGATTTCTTGAATTTGAATAACTGGAGTTGAAATAAATGTTTATTTTAGCCTAAAATAAATCAGTCTCTGCTGAGGATGAATTCCAGAAGATAGAAACAAAAGGAGCAGTTTCTGGAGCCTTGAACTTTGAGTTTAATACCTGACTTATCTCTGGAGTGGAAGTTGTGAAAAGACAGTGCTAATAATCCCTTCCTCCCTGCAGGCCTTGGTGACATTCACAGGGAGGTTATTACAATTGTCTACTTGGCTTGTCTTGAGCAGTCACAAAGTCCACATTCTCCAAGGGACTTCTCAAACTTGTCATGAGACTGAAGCTAAGGTAGACTATAACGTGAGTGAAGACTCTCACAAATTTGATAGTGTCATCCTTTAGGCTCCCGTCTATCCAGGAATGCCCTAGACATCTGGGAAATGAAACTTTCCATACTAACAAATATTTAGATGCAATTCTAGGCAAGGTGGTGGAAAAAAGCAAATACAAATGGAGTGTTATTAGAATCCCTAAAATCTGGTAATGAGAAGGGAGAAAGGTGACAGTCTCTTTATTCTCTCTCTTTGATAGGACTTTAATTTCAACCAGTAATCCTGCATTATTGTCTGATGCGGGTCACAAGTTGTACAAAGGGCGTGGGGAAGAACCTGAGGTCACCAAGACAAGATCTACTGTCGGAAGAGTTCACAATGCAACTCCTTGCTCTTTCTTAAAGGAAGGAGAATAGCAATAAGGCTTCTGAATTGAAAGTCCTAACACTGGGATTTAGCTTCACCACTGGCCAGCTATTGATCGTCAGTGGGTTACTCACTCTATGTTTCTGTTTCTCTCTATAAATCCAGTTAAAGATATGCTGGCCAACCCACCTCACAGGAGAGTTCTAAAAACTAAGTGAAATTAAACATGCAGAATCTTTTCTGAAATTGCAAAGCATTATGAACATTATTATAATTATGGATCACAGTGAAAAGATGCTATATTCCTAAAAGCAGTACCCACTCTATACAAACAATAACCTTACCTAGCAACCTCCATCTTCTAAATCACTTAAAAATGAGCATGAAAATGCAGCCTGGCTTTCCTTCAAAGGCAGGGATGTATTGTTCATATTCATTTAAGCCTGGTACCAAGAGTACAGGAGGTGCTCGATAAATGTTAAAAAATGGAGTTTCTGTAAGGTTTCACAGTCAGACTGGGGAAAAGAAAACCAAAGGGGGCACTCTGGGTACTGCAAGTGGAAAGACCGGGCTCAGAACCATAAATCTTAATGGTCACGGACACTCAGCTTGTTTTCTTATGCAACAGTGTGAATGTCAGTAATAAAGGTAAATTTCACAATGATTTACTTCTGAGGACTGTCACACTCAGATAGGTAGTGGAGGACTACATCCATACCTTGAAACCTGTCAAATTGGGTGCTTGACATACCTTGACATGAAAATTTTGTTGGTGTCTATTGCCTTGGGAATCAATACCCGCCAAAGTAATTTGTTTGGTACTTGTGGTTTTGGGTATTGCACTTCCCACAGCCCATTAATGACAAGTGCTGAGGTACCACTGTAGCTTCACCTAGTGTCCTGTCCTGTGTTTCAGTTAATATGAGTAGTGCACACACCCATCTGCACATACACTTTTACTAAGAAAAGCTTAAGATTGCTCCTAAGGAGCCACCTTGGTAGTGGAGGCTCAGCTCCTCTGCTTCATCTGCCCCTCCCTCCCTTCTCAGATCCTACCCAGGTGTGGCCAGTGTTGCACCACCAACACCAATCCAGGCTTCAGACTCCCTGTGCCTACAATCAGAACTTTCTTCCTCCTTCTCCCAAAGATACCTGGGACCATGAGTCTAGAAGCCCTTTCCTCCATGGCATCATATTCCCCCTCATTTGGTTTGTCTGACGTGTTGGCAAGTACTAGGCCACTGCAAGCCCTTCACCTGCTATTCTAAGCTTGAACGTTGACTTCTTTACCTTCAGTCTTTCTGGTTCAACTTCCTCTCCCTCGCCCTTGTTCCCAAGCCCCACCCACAGGATGCTGTGCCATTGCTTCAGTACTTTCCCAGCTCCCTCTACTCTGGAAGCAGAGGTATCAAAAGAGCTATTTACTGACCCACATTCTCATTACTTGCCCCACCACTATCTGTGATGATTTTTAGTTTTTAGGCATCTTCGAGTTTCCCATGGCGCTTCCTCAAGGGGAAGCACTGAGATAAATTGGTTTATTTGGCTGTGGCTCTGAGGGTGGCATTGTGAGGAAACATACATGAAGGAAGGGAAGAGACCCTTTAAAAAGCATGATAAAAAGCTGTGTGCAACTAGGGCTTCCCCCCATAAGGAACCCTGTTGGGGGGTTGTGTAAAACAATCCTCAGAATGAAGGCGGGGATGCTGGGTTACCTATCCAGCCAGGCCTATCCCTCCTTGACCAAGTGCTATTCTTCAGGAAATCATTCCCTGCCCTTGCAGCCTAACCTGCATGTTCCCGGGTTCACTCCTATAGCCAGAGTGTCCTTTGGCAGAGAGGAACAGCAGACTGTCCGTTTCTACAGCAGCTCGGTCTACAGCTGAAGCCTGGGGTGGCCAGGGAGACATGGGTGGGACATCAACAGAATCTGCTAGAAGAATGGCTGCTGTGATTGCTCAGAGTACTCTTCTCAATGTGACTTTTCAGAAATTAACACGTGCCGAGTGCCCAACATATACAACAGATTAGACCCAAGCAAATGCAAAGGTGTGTAAGACAGAGTTCTTCCCCCTATAAAACCTTTGTTTTGATGTAGGAGACAAACAAATAAAAGTTGCTAAAAGTGGAGAAGAGTATGCCAAGTGTTGTATTAGAACTATGAATCACAGGCTGAGAGCCAGAGGAAGATGAGATTAATTTTGACTACAGAGAAAAAGCTATCAGTACAGTTTTCCAAAGCCAAAATAGTTTCAACATATGCTAAATCGACAAACATCTAGTTCCCACCAAATACAAGAAAAGAAACATTCTTTCACAGGGCCCTTAAGCTAGAAAATAGCAAGAAAATCACACCATTTGATCTCAATCCATAAAAGGAAATGTCACATATTTTGATATCACTGGGTCTAGATACATTTACAATCAAATCATAAGAGTAAGAGGTCCCTGTTGCTCTATATTCAGTCATACATTGGTAGTCAGTTCCCATTAACAAACTGAAAGATTTAACATTAACATTAACAGATTTGGTGAAGCTCCCGACTCAGCAGGTCTGACTTTCTCCTGCTATCCTGTGACAGGTAGTCACTTCCCATGGCCCTATCTTTGAAGGACAACTTTGGAACAAGGCCCAGTGAGATCTCAGCAGTTTTCCAAACCCAGGTGTAGAAAGTAGATGACTTCAGCATCAAAGACAAGGGCTGGGGAGAAGAGGACAGCAGAAGACAGATGGATGAGTCAGCCCACATTCGTGGAAAGCTGGGGTTTTGTTGGGCAAATCTCAAGCTTTCATTTTGTGGTGTTTAGAGGCTTAATTCCAGCTTCTAATTAAATGTATAAACTGTAATCACAAAGATATTTCACAATTAGTTTCTTAGATCTGGAAGAGATTCTATGAACCAGTTTGAAGTGGGGGAGGCATGGGGAAGGGATAAGAAGAGGGGTAAACATCTCCAGCTTATAGAGGCTGCCAGCTGACTTGGGCTGGAAGACCATAGTAAAGGAGTGGAAGTGGAGGTGGGGGTGGGGCCTTCTTATCCTTTCTGTCCAGGTCCTGTTTTCCCGACTCTTCTGACTGCCACACTCCAAAGAAAGACTTGAATATGAATCTGGAAGTCTGGAAATGGAGAAAGAAGTAGCAACTGAACCTCCAGGTTATCATTTAAGTTCTTTTTTTTGTTTTGTTTTTTGTTTTTTTCTCCGGTAGCAGGAACCGAACTCACGACCTTACGCTTGCCAGGCAGGCGCTTTGCCGCTGAGCTAAATCCCCAGCCCCAAAATCTCAGCTTTGGTTTTTGGTTTTTCTGGCTTTTCTCCGGTACCGGGAACCGAACTCTCTACCTTGCACTTGCCAGGCAGGCGCTTTTGCCGCTGAGCTAAATCTCCAGCCCCCTCATTCAAGCTCATATGTGGGCATGCCCCTGCCATGATCTCAAAAGGAGATGCTAGCGGGCAGTGAAGGGAAGAATAGAGCTGTGTGGCTCTATCTAGCTTTACACTGCCCATTCTTGCTTCTGCTGTCAGCAGGGAACGTTGGGGCAGGAGATATTTCTTGAGCTTCTCTCCTTTGATAACTTTCACAGTGATATACACTGGCCAGAGGTACCAAGGCCTGCAAAGAAGTTTGTTTTCTGGATGGGAGAAATAACCAGAAGTCCAGCTTAAAGAGGAACATGAGGTCCTCAGGACTTTATACAAGGTTTTTTGGTGATCAGCTACCCAGTACTGCTCAACAATCACACAACATAATTGCCAGGAGTGACAAGTTCTAGATCACTAGAGCTCAGTCCTCCAAACAGAAAAGCTCTCAGTTGCTGAAGTTTCAGATGCAACCCTAGCCTTTCTCCCTTTCCAGGGTCTCCAAACATTTTGAGGATAAGAGTAGGAATGATATGATAATGTATGGTTAAAGAAGGCCTCTAAAACAACCATGTAATGTACTGTCATCTTCCATTTTACAAGTGGATCAAGATCGAAGAACTTGCCCCAAATCATATATTTAATGGTAACAGTGATGTTCCAAATTGAGCACTGGTCGACTAAAAGGCCTACACTCTTCCTACTCCAACACATTGTCTCTTTCTGGACCAGGAGCCTGTGTGCTACTAAATATTTGGATGTTTATGACTGGGAAAAAATGATAAGGATGGTTGTCAGGTCAACCTGATCTGGTTCCATACTGGTTTCATGGAATTTTGGTACTCAGTGTCCTCATTTCTAAAACTGAAAAGAAAATATTACTATCTACCTCCAAAGAATGTGAAAAGGACTACATGAGATATTGTTTGTAAGACAGCACAGTACCTCACATAGTCATATTCAGTAAGTGCTGGTGATTGTTGTTTGTAG